GGGCCCCCCCCCCCCAGCCTCCTGGTTTGCCCAGAGCTCGAGTTTAAGTGGCGAGCTCTCCACTTTCTGTTCCTATAGCAACTCCTGCCCACGCGTGGGCTCGCGGTAGCATCGCATCCTGTCTGGCAGAACCCGTCCCTGGCTGGAAACGGACGCCCAGCAGCCCCCCAGTTCCCCCCCAAAAAACCCCTTAAGGTCCTGGCAAGGGGTTTAGGGCCACGGCAGATGGATCCAGCCTCACCCCCAGGGCGGGATCCGGTGATGCGGGAGCCAAGAGGAGAGCGAAGAAGGTTTCTCTAAGAAGTTTTCTCTACGGAAAAAGCCTACCTAGGGCCCCGCCGTTGGAGAGGGGTGCGCTGCCGTCAGCCTCGGGGACGCAAGCGTGGTGTTTGGGCTTGGTGGCCTCCAGCCCGGCCAGCAGCGTCATGAAGTCGATGACGGTATCGATGTCCTGCTTGTTGGCGGTGGCTTCCCTCAAGGCGTTGACGGCGTTGAGACGACTGAAGGAGGTCAGCTCAGAGATGTTGGCCCGGAGGAAGAGGAGGATGACGTTGAGGTCGTTGACAGGGCAGGTGAGCATCTTGCGGCTGAGGAGATCGAAGGCGGGCAGCATCTCGTAGACGGAGAGCAGCCCCTTGTCCCACTGGCAGAGCTGCAGGGCGTTGTAGATGACGACGGGTAGGAGGAGGACGTAGACGCTGCCGACCGAGAGGCTGATGAGCTGGAAGACGGAGAAGAAGACCAGCTTGCAGGGGATGAACAGGGGGATGTGGGGCTCCGCCTGGAGCAGCCCCGTTTTGATGGAGCAGCTGAACTCATCCTGGAAGAAGATGTTGAGGTGGAGGAAGACGAGGTAGAGGCAGGTGGCAGCCAAGAACAAGAGCAGGAGCAGGTTCCTCAGGATGTAGATGAATGCCAGGGAGTGGGTGTGCTGCTTGCAGGTGAGGTAGCGCTCCAGCAACGGGAACTCGAAGTACCTCTCCCGGCGGGCCCTGGGGACAAAGGGGACACAGCGGGGACTTAGAGCCACCCCCCTAAACCGAGCCGCTTCACCGAAATCCGTCCTGAACGTGGCCGCAGCCACAACGCCATGCAGAGGGACTTTGGAGGGACGCAGCGACCAGTCGAGGCTGCCTCACCTCTCGTATTCCTCCCAGAATCGCTCTGGCTCGGTGCTGGCCTGCTGGACCTTCCTCATGTGCTGCACCAGGCGCACGGAGCGGTTGTAGGATTTGTCCAGCTCGTCGATGATGAAGACGAGGTCGGAGTGGAGGGCGGGAGCGGCCGCGTAACGCCAGAGCAGGTAGGGCAGGTACATGAGCACCGCCACAACCAGCAGCGAGTAAGGGAAGACCTGGGTAAAGGAGACAAGCAGGCGTTGAGCCGTGCAGAGTTGCTTCACCGCCGCCGCACGCCCAGGTGGGACCTGAGGGCACCCAGACGCGAGCTCGACCTGTACCTTGAGAGCCCAGAGGGATTTGGTGACGGCGTGTCCCTCGGCGTTGAAGCCGTGGTGGATGAGGGAGTCCCAGCAAGCCGTGTCAACGTAGGCGGACTGCTTCCCCGTGAAGTTGGTGGGAGAGAAGCAGCTGATCTGCGAGCCTAGGGTGAGAGAAAGGGTGAATCTCAGCCACGGGGGGCCCAGCAAGCACGAGAGCGAGCTCCGCAGCCAGGTGCCAGCACCTTACAGGAGGGTGATTACATCTAAGGCATCACTGTGAATTCAAAAAGCCTTTTTCACAGTCATTTTGTAGCTGTCCTTCCCCACCGCTGCATTTCCTGGCAAGGACTCTTCCATCGCTTCCCGAACACAAACCCTTTGAGCACAGCCGTGGGTACTGGCCAGGAACCGGAGTCAAACCAAATCCCCAGGGGCAGCAGTGGGTTGTCGGCTGAGGCCAGATTTAGCCTGAGGTTGCGACACACCATCACTGCAACCCTCTGTGTGCTGCCCTCGCAAACCCTGGCGGGACGTATCCCCTGAGCTGCCCTGCTGGCACCCTTCTCCTTGGAAACAACCCTGCAGCACCCAGAGGTGCTGGGGGCAAGCAGCCAAGGTGGGGCATTGCCTCACTGCCAGTCCTGGGGTTAAGGATGGCCGTTTCCGGGCTTTCCCAGTGATCAATAATCCATTAGAAACAATCAATAAATATCCCTGAGAAACAACACTTCCTAGAACAGGATTTCCAGGCTGCCCTGCCTCAGGCCACAACCACACCGGTGTGAACACGAGGGTTTTGCGGCGACAACCAAACCGCCGTCGGCAACTGCCCGTGACACGAAGATCCCTGGTGCAAAAGCCGTGACTCACCAGCGGAGAACTCCCGGGCGAAAGCCAGTGAGACGAGGAAAAGGGGAAGCCCCACGGTGACGAACTTCAGCAAGCGATCGCTCGGCAGCTCCAGACGCAGACCCTTGGCTCGGGAACCACCGGGATCCGGGAGGAGAGCGTCGGAGAGCATGTACTCGGCGGCCGTGTGCGAGAGCGACATTTTTCTGTTGAGGAAAAGGAGACGACGGCGACTGCTGCTGCTGCCCAGAGGCTCTGGTGTCGTCTGAGGCGTGACCAGCTCGAGGAGTGATTTTGTAGGACTGAAGGCATCGCTTGTCAAGCACTCGGTACCAGGCGGCTGTAAATGACAGCTTAAACGGCGCATTAAATCAACTGGTAATTACAGGGGGAAGCCTTTTCCCAAATAGCACGCCCCGAAATAGAAGAAAAAAAATTAAAATATAGCAGCTGTGGCATCGGGCTGGGAAGGCAGCATTCCTCCCCGGCCGCAGCCGCTCCCCGGCTCCTCGTGGTTTTACGGCCCTCTCTCATAAGCAGATGTATTTCTGGCGGTGCCTTGGAGGGGTGTGGGGCTCCCCAGTTATTTTCACCCCGCGTGAGGAGTGGGGAGGCAGGGCACAGGGCACTGCCCTACCGAAAAGCCTCAGCCAGGAACATGGTGGCCCCGTGGGGTACAAAGAGCCCTTTCCAGCACCCAAACCAGCCCGAGGGGCTGGAGAAAATCCTGGGGACAGGCCAAGAGACACCAAACGCTGGTGGCTGCGATTTTGAGGCAGAACATCAGCTGCGGTTCCACAGCTTTTCAATCTCTCCATTCGTCTCCCTCTCAGAAGAAGGAACCCGGCTCCAAGGTGAGCTCCCGAGGGAGAGGGATCCCAGTAAGGGGATCTAGAAATAAGCGATGGGGAAATCAGAAGGGGTGGTGGGATAGAAAAGCTTCTCCTGGTGGCACAGTCAGCGCCTAGAATCCTGCGCCAACACCTCTGGCAGCACAGAGTGGAGGGAGTCCCAGAGCTGCTCGGCCAAGCCAAGCAGAGGAACTCCCCACGCAATCTCTCAGCACAGCAAAAAAAAACCAACCAAAAA